CACACACACACACACACACACACACACACACACACACACACACACACACACACACACAATGTGCTTTGGCTATCATTTTCCATGTCCAAGAATTTCTGTTCATCAGGTAACCTGCCTGCTGGGCATTTTGTTTCCTCCATTCCAAGCTGGGCTGCCTGCCTACCGTCCTGCCTTTTCTTTTCAGTGGAGCTCAAACCCAGGGCCTTGCCCATTCTAGACAAGCACTCTACCACTAAGCTACATCCTCAGCTCTGGGTATTTTTTGAATATGCAATATGGAGAGAAGGACAATGAACAGGAAAAAGGTGTTTGGCATTATTATTAATTTCTCCCAAGCTACTAAGTGTCTTTTGTTGTTTGTGAACTATAGAAATGCCATGGCCAAGGTACCATGAGGGAGGAAGAAGCTTCCAGGTGACTTCAGGTTAACGCTACACCACCCACACTTAGTATTGTAGAGTTCTGGCCATCATTATCCTTCAGACAATAGAAAGTTATTCTTTGGCCATGGAACCCACTTCCATCTGATGTATATTGGCTTTAGCATTTTCTGGGCTTTGGAATAATCGTCACATGTCTAACAAAGTCCTGAGTCAAGGTGTGCCTGGTTTTGAGCAGGTTCTCAACTCTCCCGGTTACCATCAGTTGTGTATGGTGCTCTCTCAGTCTGTGGTTTAATGTGGGGTTCTTTGTGCTTTTCCCTAGAGTGACTTTCCAACCAGAATGTCCCTTGTGGTCTGACCGTTTCAAGACACAACTCCGGATCACTAGAGATCAGATGCAGACTACGAGATGAGACACAAATCTGAGAGCCAGCAAACCTAGGACCTTCTCTGGCCAGCAGCCACCTTGGAAGATTTGCTGATCTCTGCTTTGGCTACGGACAGGAGGCATCCTTTAAGGAGGCTGATTTCAAACCCTGGTGCCCAATCTATCTTGAGAAACTTACCAAGAAGACAACGATGTGTGAGAACCACATAATAACCCACAGGGTCTATCTTGCCCCACCCACATTTCCTTAGCGGAATCTGTGTCCAGTTCTGAAACAGGTAGCTTTGGACCCCTGACCTCTAGAAATTACCTATGCTTGCGGTATGTTTTTCTACAAGTGCTGTTCTGTGCTTAGAGACAGAAGAATTTATTACTACCATCAGAAGACCTTCCGCTCACAAGAGAGATAACTTCGAGGTAAAATGTACCTTTTATCCCCATCACTTGCAGTCATTGGTCAACGAGTCTTGTTATGCTAAAATCAGAAGGCCCTTGTTGAGCTTAATGGCAGTGACCTCCGGGGCAATCACAGAAATGGTTTCAATTTGCTGCTGTGACTCACAGTTCTTAAGTGGCTGGGCAAACAGGATAGCTTTTTGAAAAGCTGCCCAAGTGGTCTTTCTCTGTCCATTCGGGGGATGTAAGCTGCGTCTCGTCTTTCTGTTGAGTGGAGCGACATCTGAGCCTTGAACTCCTACGTCTCTCTCCTCTCCTCTCCTCTCCTGAACTTTTCAGGGAGGGGCTGGCACGTCTGAGGGTGTCCCACTCCTCTCTGCGGTGGGACTAACTTGTCATCAGGTGCCTTTGACAGATGTTCAGAACACTCACGTGAAAGAGGACGAGAAAAAGGAGAAAGCAGTGGTAGAAGAGGAGGAATGGGGAAGAATTTAGGAGGAAAATAATATGCCGTCTCATTGGATCTTGAATGTGGGTTGTTTTCCCACAAACACACTCAGATTTTTTTTTTATTGGATCTGTACTTCATTTAAGGATTTTTTCTACCATCCCGATTCTGCCACTGCAGGGCACCAGGGATGTGGTGTCCACCCCTCTTGGCCTCCCTGACCTGCCACTGTAGATGCTTTGGAAAGAAGAAAGGCACCACTTTCTCAGCAAGAAACAAGTCCTCTTCCTACCCTTGCAAAAATAATTGGTTTTGCCTAAATCCCAAATTGAGAAGGCTCTGGACGTTGTAACGTTCGTAAACTGCCAAAGTGGCCATGAACTCTTCCCCTTCTCGTTATTCCTGTGCATGGAGTTTGTCCTCTCTTGCTGCTCTCGGACCCCATCAAATGTACCTGAACTGTCTATCCTCCATGGTGAGAGACGAGCCTGGTCACTGTTGCCATTGTGGGTGACAGTTTTATCAACTCAGCAGACTCAGAAGAGCATCTAGCCATGACCAACAAAAGAACTGCCCAGCTGAGCCGAGTCCCAACTGGGGATTCCCACTTGAGAGGAGAAGTTTGGTACTCCTATGTGTTCACTTATCATCAAGGATAAACCTCTCACATGTCAGAATGTTTGGCCCTGAATCAGTTACTCATCCTTCACCTTCCTTGACAGACTTTTCAGTCTGCGTTATTGTGGGGAGACATGTGATTGGGTGAAGTGACTAAAGAAGATGATGCTTGCTATCCCATAATCCAGCCGTAGTCTATTCTCTTACTGATCGATGTATACCCTCTGAAGAAGGTCGGGCAGAATTTCCTCAAGACTTTTCCAGGGCCGCCTGCCTGGAATTCCAAAGTCTATTCTGCTACCGTCCATTGTTCTTCATGGCATTTCCCAAAAAGGTCCCATGTGTGTGATGTAAGAAGCTGCTGGGTGAGGGCTTGAGGGATAAGCTGATGTCACTGCTTGGAGGGGAACCGGCCTGCCAAAGGATGTCACAGTTACTTTGGCCTGCCCTAGATAGAACAGGAAGATACTTCAGCCCAGCGCTGGCACTTCCAAGGGCTGGAAGACAAAAGCCATAACCCTGGTGCTGAGTTTTAGACTTGCTAGTGTCCCTGGCCTCAGAAAGCCTAGGTCTGGTCTGTCTGTTTGGGCTCTAAATCAATATGGCAAAAACATCACTTCTCAATCACCAGCTTTTGATTTCAACTTGCTCAGGCACCTCTGAAGAATACTGGATAGCTGCGGTAGCTATTGTTACACTGAGCACTATGTCAGGCTTCTTTCCACCAAAGAGCCCCATAGCACAGGCTACAGAGACCAAATAGATTGCTTTGTAAAGCCAGGGGGCATGTGTGAGCTTGGTGAAAGCTGAGGGGGCAATAGGAAAAACCTGTTAAAACTGGAAACATAAAGTTCCAAGGCAAAAAGACTATAGGCAGACAATTTTTAAAAAAATCAACATAAAGATGATAACAGGCTTTTGAAATAACTGGGAAAAGGGGAGGGGGCTCAGATTGCTCTTTGTAGGGCTGCATGAATCATTTTGAGTTTCCAGACCTTCAGCAGAGAGAGAAAGCAGTCGTTTCTGGGTGTGTGGATAGGAGATAATGCTCCATGGACAAGGCGAAGGTGGCTGTCCCCGGTGCCCTCGACTTTTCTTTACACATCCCAATAGTCTGTCCTGCATAGGAAGTGCCTATACATATTAGTTCCTTTCCTGTTTTCCTAGGGCATAAAGTAAGTCTGGTATAAGAGGTGATCTCCATCCACTTGAGTCCCTACAATTTAATAAGGAAGCTGAGACATGCCCAAGAAAGGATAAGAATATTTTATGCATATGAAAGGAAATAGTGCTATGGATAAATTATAATAAACCCAGAGATTTAAATTTTTTAAAACTTAAAGGGGAATATTTTGATATTTAAGTGTTGTTGTTTGTCCATCCATCCCGTTTTTTTAGGACAGGCGCAGTGATCTGCAAAGCCAGGCTGTGAAAATCTGAACTGAAAAGAGGTGAAGGAGAACAGTGGAGAGGGATGAGTGACAGGGGCCCTGGGGGGCTGGAGCTCCTGCCTTTGCCTGTGAGTCACAGCTGAGTCAGGGACAGGCCGGAGGAGGGAGCTGGAAAGCAGGTGGCTGGAGGTGTCCCGCGGTGCGGTGTCCCCGCACTGCTCAGAGTTCTCCTCTAGGGCAGGTGTAGACTCATTAGGAGACAGAGGACAGGATTCAGTTCTCCCACCCAAGCCAGCCTTGGGGAGCTCAGCACCTGCTCCTCCAGGCACGGAGGACAGCTTGGGGTGCAGGACTTGCACTAATGTAAGAAGTTTCACACGGCATTTCACCTCCTTTCTTATGCGCTTGGCCTAGGGCTGGGCACACCAGGGTGAGAGGGGCTGGCGCTACATATATAAATCTGGTTAGATCTGAAGCAGTCTTTGAGAGGAAAGAAGTAACGGACGCTGCTTTAGTTCATCCACTCCCCGCCCCTTTTTAAATAGACGGATAAACCATCACTCCCATAAATGAAGTCACAAACCTGTCCGATCTTTAGATTCCCAATCTTTAGCCCTTTCCTGTTGGATCTGCGTTTTCCAAAATTGCCTGGCCATAAGAATTACTTGAATTAGCAGAGGACCTGAGTTTGGTTCCCAGAACCCTCATGGTGGCTCACAACTGTCTGTAACTCCAATTCCAGGGGACCCGATGATCTCTTAGGGCATCTGGGAGCATTATACTCACATGATGCACTCACATGTAGGCAAAATACTTACAACATAAAAATAAATACATTTTTAAAAATTAAGAAAGGGGGCTGGAGAGATGGCTCTGTGGCTAAGAGTACTGGCTGCTCTTCCAGAGGACCCACATTCATCTCAGCACATGGTGCCTCCTAGCTCCAGTTCTAGGGGAACCGGTACCCTCTTCTGGCCTCTGCAGGTACTGCACACATGTGGTGCACAGACACACATGCAGGCAAAATACACATATAAAAAAGAAGTAATGCATTTAAAAATACTTGGTCAAATAAATTACTTGCCTGGAGGGCTGGCAATGTGACCCGGGTTGGTAGTGCTTACATAATATGCACAAAGCCCTGGGTTCAATCCCTAATGCTGTACAAACTGGGAGTAATGGCACATGCCTACTGTAATCCCAACATTTGGGAGGTAGAGGCAGGAGGTTAGAAGTTCAAGGTCATCCTTGACTACATAGTGAGTTCAAGGCCAGCTTGGGCTACATGATACTCTGTCTTCAAGAACCAAACAATAATAAATCAAAACCACAAGGATTACTTGACTGCCACTGTCAAGAAGTGTTGTTGGGCTGTGCCTTGGAGAATAGATGGGTCGATCTGGGGTAAAGATTTGGACTCTGGACATGTAATTTCAGAGAGCCCTGTGGTAGATACCTTTGGGTAGTGTTACACTGAATCATATCTCCGGTACACCCCAAACTGCTGGCCATAAGTATTGTTGGGACTGTGGATTATTTTATTCAAATACCAAGGTGAGATGCTTCTGACTCCTTTGAGAGTGGCACTGATGAGACACCCAGCAGTCTGGCTGTGACACTGGAGACTGGCTCGCCACCGTCCACCTGAAAGGAAGCATTTAAAGGGAGAGTGTTGGAAGCCCTCCCCAGGAGCATGCTTGATATGTTCCAACTCCCAGAATAGTGATGTGTTGTGACAGGCTCAGATCAGACAACAGGAATTACAGGTAATTTTCTTATTCCCTTGATGCCATCCTGAATAAAACTTAGATCGTGAATAGAAAGAAAGGAGCCATCAGGCAAAATGGCAAATGTAAATCATTTTTAAAGGGTACAAATTAACAGCCTTGCTAATAACATAACTTTCATTTTAGGACCGAAAGCAGGTGGAGAAAAAAAATAATAAAATGTACAACATTACCCCTTCCAAAATCAGGTTTAATTGCTGCCAGGATTTTATGGGAGTTTAGAAGTGATGTGCGGAGTTTAGAAATCATCCATAGAAGGTCTAAGGTCCTAGAAGCAAAATAGTGCCTGGTTTCCACTGCCAGTACCCTACCTCCTAGCTGCGTGGGATGATCACTGCAGCTCAGAGGCCCCAGTTAGCATCAAAGCTGAACAGAGAGAAGCCAAGCTGAGCTGCGTTCTTAAGCAGCTGCCTGCGGTTAGCATTGCTGGGTGGTAAAGTCAGGTTTTAGTGCTATGTGCATTACATTTGTGGTACATTCTGTTTACAGACCAGTCCCACAAGCATTCTCTCCTTTGTTCTTCACAGCAAACCCTGTGGTAGAGGCAGGTTAGGTGTCCTCCCATTGGGCAGAGTGTGGAGCTGAGGCTGCGTATGCCAAGTGACTCACCTGTTGCCTGAAAGGCATTTAGAGTCTTTCGATGGCCTTCCGAACTGTCTAGGGTTCTTTCAGATCCCTGCAGTACTCACAGGCCCAGACTCCAGTTTATTCTCTTCACAGCCGGATGTGTAGTAAAGGAGAGTCCCAGTGGTGCGGAGAAGCCACGGAGACAGGCATTTGCTACTTCATCTAGCCCCATGATGTTTAGGAGTCTGCCCTGAGAGAGAGAAGTGTCTTGGCTGGGTGAGAGTTTCATTCTCAGCACCATGCTGTGAGGGGGGGGGGGCGAGGCTTTGACAGATGTGTTTCGACTTTCTGGATTCTTCTCAAAGGAATTTCTAAGCCAAGCTACAGGTTCACCCAGGCTCAGAATTCCAGAGTTGTGAGCAGGAGCCGACACCTTCACTATATTTTGAGATTTTTTTTTTTTATAGAGGTAGAACTGAGGATCCAGATCTAGAGGGAGACAAAAGTTGTAGCAGTTGAGCTGAAAGTCTGGTTAGAGTTTGAGGCGGAGCTAACTGGACAGGGCGGTCAATGTGGTCTGACTCCTTTTATCTAAAAGGCTGAGAAAGATGCCCAGAGCTGCTCTCCTGCACGTTCATGAACAGAGGTGTTACACTACTCCGTGAGGAATTTCCTTGTGGGAATAAAGAACGTGACATTTGGACAGTGGGGGGACGAGAAGACGCCTGCTTCCCGGGAGTCACCCTGCCCAGTTGTTTCGTGCCTTGTCTGTGACATGGAAACTGAAATGTTTGTGTCACTGTTGTTACCCATGATGTTTTTTCCTATGTCACATATACAAAGTGCATTCAGTTGTAATGTTTTAAAGTAAATAAAGCATTTTCATCTACTTTTGTTATACTCAATTAACATGGTTATGGTGTGTTATGATTTTACAGTAAGTGCTTTCTCCAAGATAAGGGATCATACAAAGTGACAAGGTGTGGAAATGGAATTGTGAAGCCCAGTACTGCGAGCCTAATAATAATAATAATAATAATAATAATAATAATAATAATAATAATAATAATAATGCAGTACACACTCTCCAGAGAATGGCCTAAATTCTATATCGTAGAGGCAGACACAGCCAGTTACTGTGTGTTCTAGCACGTTTTAATGAGCTACTGGCCAGGTAAATTCTGTTGACACTCACTGCTGTAGTATTTCAGGACACAGGTAGATGTGGTAGTTGGATAAGGATGGTATCTGGCTCATTTTCAAGAAGAGAGTCAGCATTTGCCTGATAGAACTTACGTTTGGGGAGGGGAGGAGGGGAGCCATTCATGGGAGGACATTTTAGTTTCTGAAGAGATTTGAGACGCTCCCACAGCACTGTAATTAAGGGAAGACAATTAAAAACCTTTGTGAGCATAAACGGTGGTAAGTACCTGGGGGAGCTATTAATCCCTGTGACGGCTGGGCCCTGTCAAGGGATTCCAGACAGTCTGTCCTTGCTGAAAAACGTTTGGACTTAATCCTCTTCTTTTAGTAATTCTGTTAACATATTTCCATGTAGATCTAGTTTAAATTAGACTCTAAAGCAGTTAGACTTTTATACCTCTTCTGGACTTCCTGTTATGTGGTTAACGTTTTAACTCCATCTTGGTTTTCCCAGCCCTTAAAAAAAAATATATTTTTTTTTAAATTTCTCAAGTATGTTTAGAATCACCGCTCCCCCCCTCCGCCTATAAATCTTTTCTGGCTGCATTTTAGATTTCTCTGTGAACTCTTTTTCTTCCTGAAGGAAGTTTTCTTTTATGCTGGTCCCCTTGGTAGGATTCGCTGTTGGTCTTCGCTGATCTCAATCCAAGAGTCTTGTTGTCCCTGACAGAGAATCTCACTCCTAAGTCACTTTTACCCACCTGAAACTGTTATCTCGCTCCCTTCCGACTCCCGCTGTCCCGCTGTCGCTCTTGAGAGGCCAGTCACCACCCCAGCTCTCCTTCCTGTCACTCCCTAACCGACCTTGGTCTTCTGGCAACTTTCTAAAGAAAGCTTTCTTTTTATTTATCCATTGTATCTTTCAGATCATGCCTCCCAATCCCACCCATCTCCCTCCCCCTACCCCAAATAAAGCAAAGTAAAATTTAAGAGGAAAAAAGGGGGGAATGGGAAGAAAGGGAAAATCTCATCATGGAAGCTGCAGTGTGACACAGTGAATCACACAGTAAACCCCTGTATCCATACGTCTTTCCTTGCAGGCGCTCATCACAAAGAGCCACTGGTCTGGTTCAGGGCACCCGTCTCTGCTGCGCCATCAATGCTGGGCCCTCACCGGGACTCTTCCTGCACATCCTGCTTCTGGCCACTTTAAAATTTTCCCCTTTGTCTCTAGTGTCCTTAGGTTTTCATGAACATGTCACTGTGGGTTTCCTCTTATTTATTTCAGCTGGGACTTGTGCTTCCGTAGTCCGTGGGTTGGCTTTTCATCAACTATGGAAAACTTGAAGCTATTAACACATCAAATATTTCATCTTCAAACTGTCTTTTGACAAATCCAATTAAATGTTAACATCTTTTTGTTCTACTGTCTGTGTTTCTTAATATAGTTCTTGTGTTTTCTCTTTCTTTGTCTTCTGCTCTCTATTCTGGGCAATTTCTTCATGTTTATCTTACAGTCACTAATTTTTCTCATCAGCGGATTCCAGTCCCGATTCTAATATATTTTTCAGTTCTGGGTGTTCAGCTTAGCTCCTTTTACAAATCTATATGGTCATTTTGATACGGTCACATCTTATCCTTATGTACAGTTTCATTTTATTCCTTGGCAACTATCCATCTCAACTTTACAGCCCATATTTCAATACCGACAATGTTTGTAGTTTTAATTTTGGAGCTTGCAAATTTGCTGTTACTCCTGATTTCCTGCATTTTTGTGTGGTTTTTACTTTTTAATTGTGGACACGTGTGGTGGGACATCATGATATGTTAGTGTCGGTCACAGAAGACCTTTCCAACTTTTTAATGTATCCTGCTGCCCAAATCTGTATGTACCCAGCATCCAGAAAGCCTAAGACTCTGAGGGGGGACTGAGTAAAGACATGCTAGACAGAAAAAAAGGAAAGTATGCATATTTCTAATAAGATAAAACGGGATAGTAGGGAGACTTGACTTTACATGTAGTTCAGAATTGGATCTTTATAAGAGAATGGCTATTTAAATAGCAGACATAAGACTATTTTAGGGGCTAAACGTGAATGGATCATCTATTGTGAAGAATGACTAAAGGAATTATGGATCTAGATTTCATTCAAGAAGCAAGGAAAGACTAGGCTTATAGTATGAGATAGAAATAAAGTTACCTATTTTCCTTCACTTCAGCTAAAATCCAATCTAAGTTTTTATATACTTTTAATTCAAAGAAGTAAGAAGGCTGATTTCAGAGTCTCCTGGCAGAGACATTCTCTTGGCAGAGATATCCTAATTCTTATCATACCGTGTAGGTGAAAGTTCCATTCTCTGCTGAATTGGTTTTAAGCATTTCCTGAATGCCTTTCGGGTGGCCTGAGATGACTCACCCAATATGGCAGGAGTAGAGGAGCTGGCCAGCCCCGGAAAGGGATGTTGAGTTATCTCGACACGCCATCTAGTGGCATACATTCACCAGAACGCCTGACTCTCAACTTTCCAGGAGTCACCGTGCTGGACAGAGGCAGGAGTGCATGGGTCTTAAAAAGCTGTAGCTTATAGGATCCTTAGATGAAGATGAAGTGGAGACTCCCAGAAAGGGAGAATTAGTTTCCTCCAGGGACAGGCTCCCACATAGGATGTCTAATCACAAGTGCTAGTCACAACAGTCTACCTTAAAAACATAATACGTAAAAAAAAAAACAAAAAAAACCCATAATACGGAAAATTCTAAATTCAAAAACCACACAGACAAGCTTACCACCGCCACATGAATAGCTCTTGGTACACATAAAATGACTTGCTAAAAGTTAATTCACCTATATTCCTTAAAATTTTATTTAAAAAAAATTGAGAACTTCATATATGAGAAGTGTAGACATATCACTGCTATTCTTCTCTATCCCTTCATGTCCTCCCTCCCAAATTTATGATCTCTAATCACTATTGTTATACACTCAGTGCATACACATGCACACATGCATATAAACCTACTGAGTCCATTTAGCGTTGCTCAGAGGTGCATGTGTCCAGGTGCCCTTATTACATCAGCACATCGTGCAGACGTATCATGTATAGATTGCAGGGTTGGTGGCTGGGTTCGTTTTTAATCTTTCTCCCCTAGTAGCATGAAGAGCGTCTTCTAGTACCATGAATACTACCCTGTAGGAGTCAAGGTTCTAGGTAGACACCAGCTCGATTTCTCCATGTTCAATAACCATGTTATATAGGAACATATAGGGCCTTACCATCAGTTTGTGAAGAGCAACCAATACCCTTGGCAATAGCCTGGGTTGTTTGGGGTGTCCATGGGGCCCCTTTGGCCAACAACTTGATTAGATGTTACCCATTCCCGGTACTGGAAGCTTCATTTGGTGATGAGAGAGAAGATCCAGTTGGGGCTCCATCTCCCCTATTTGATGTTGCCAGTAGATTTGTTACATGTACTATGTAATTTAAGAAGCTTCTACTGTGTTGGGTTTCCATATAAGTCTTTGGCTAGCCCTTAGTTTTAGCTATCTCCCCCGAATTCCCTCCTTACTCCCTTCTTTCCTCCCCTCCCCCACTTGATCGTCCCATTCCAGTCTCCTGTGTGTGTGTGTGTGTGTGTGTGTGTGTGTGTGTGTGTGTGTGTTGATTTGAATAAGAATGGCCCCCATAGGCTCACATGTTTGAATGCTTAGTGATTAGGGAGTGGCACTCCTTGGAAGGGATTAGGAGGTGTGGTCTGGTTGGGGGAAGTGTGTAACCGGGGGTGGGCTTTGAGGTTTCAAGGACCCAAGCCTGGCCCAGTGTCTCTCTCTCTCTTTCTGCTGCCTGCAGACCCTGATGTGGAATTCTCAGCTCCTTCTCCTGCATCATGCCTGCCAAGCTGTGCTGAAACTGAAAGCAATCCCCAATTAAATGTTTTCCTTTATAAGTGTTGCTATGTTCATGGTATCTTTTCACAGCAACAGACCTTTGACTAAGGCAATACCATATTTATCTTTTGGGGTCTGGGTTACCTCACTCAGGATGATTTTTTTTCCCTAGCTCCATCCATTTACCTGAGGATTTCTTTCTTTCTTTCTTTCTTTCTTTCTTTCTTTCTTTCTTTCTTTCTTTCTTTCTTTCTTTCTTTCTTTCTCTCTTTCTATCTATCTATCTATCTATCTATCTATCTATCTATCTATCTATCTATCTATTCCTTCCTTCTAGTGGCTGAGTAATATTATTTTCCATGTAAATATTCTATGTAAATGTACGACTTTTGTTTTTGCTTTCTTTCTTTCTTTCTTTCTTTTTTTTTTAAGGCAGGGTTTTTCTGTGTAGTTTTGGTGCCTGTCTTGGATCTCGCTCTATCGACCAGGCTGGCCTTGAACTCACAGAGATCTGCCTGGCTCTGCCTCCCAAGTGATGGGATTAAAGGTGTGTGCCAACGCCATGCAGTGTACCACATTTTTTAAAGTACAATCATCCATTGACAGGCATCTAGGCTGTTTCAAATTTCTGGCTATTATGAATAAAGCAGCAATGAACATGATTGAGCAAGTGTCTATGTAGTAGGACATAGAATCTTTTGGGTTTATGCCCAAGAGTGGTATAGCTGGATCTTGAGGTAGATCTATTTCCAGCTTCCTGAGGAACTGCCACACTGATTCCCATAGTGGCTGTACAAGTTTTCACTCCCACCAGCAATGGATGAGTGTACCCATTACTCACCAGCATCAGATATCATATTGATCTTGGCCATTCT